GTAATAGTGAAAAGGAATGGATAATAGACATTGGTGCATCCAACCACATAACTTATCACAAAGAGTCGTTAAGTTCTAAGAAGCATGTTACTGCTTATAATAAATAAGTATATCTACCAGATGGTGGGACTGTAGAGGTATCACATATTGGTAGTTGTGATTTTCTAGATGGAGTATATGTGAAAGATGTTTTATACATTCCAGATTTCAGATATAATATACTTTCAGTATCCAAAATAACTAAGGAGCTTCAACGCTCAATTCAATTTTCCCCCGACTATTTTGTGTTCCAGGACCTCTCAAGTGGAGAAGTTCTGGAGATTGGTGAAGAAAAAGGTTGCCTCTACTTGATGAATCACAAAAAGGAATGGTCGCTACCAAGAATAAATTGGACATCCTTCTTTGGCACAAAAGGATGGGTCATTCCTCTGTAGGAATTATGACTCATTTGTTTAATATTGACTCTATTGAATATAAAAGGGTTTTAGATAAATGTAATGTATGTCCAGTAGCTCGACAAACCAGCTTACCCTTTCCTAATAGTGAGAATAGATCTTCTTGTATTTTTTATTTGTTGCATTTGGATGTATGGGACCATTCCATGTTCCACTTGATAGTTGTAAAATGTTATTGACTATTGTGGATGATCATTCTCGTATGACTTGGATATATTTGCTGAAATTAAAATGTGATGTGGTAGTAGTGTTAAGAAATTTCTTTCAGCTAGTCAATACACAATTTGAAGAAAGTGTCAAAACATTGAGAGCAGACAATGGAATTGAATTTGTAAATTCTAATTGCCATGATATATCCACATATTTTGGTATCATACATCAAATATCATGTTTATACACCCCACAACATGTGGTAGAGAGAAAATACAGGTATATTGTAGAACTAGACAGGGCAATCAAATTCTAGGGTTCTATACCTATCAAATATAGGGTTCATTGTCTGCTTGAGGTTCTTTACATGATAAATAGGTTGTCATCTACATAACTCCACAAAAAGTCTCCTTTTGAATTTTTTCATGGTGTTAAAGGGTCCTTAGCAGACCTCAAAACCATGGGTTGTCTGTGCTATGCCAAATGCTTGCCTCCTTGTGATAAATTTGAGGCCAAAGTTGTTCCTGCAGTACACATGGGTTATTCAGATGTTACAAAAAGGTTTATGCATTGTATAATCTACTTACTCACAACTTTTTCATTTCTAAGGATGTTAATTTCAGAGAGGATTCTTTTCCTTTCCAAAATACATCATCCTCACCTATTGTATTCCTACACACATCTGCATATTCTTTTTATGATTAATACATTGACAACTCACAATTGCCTACTCAGCCTGATGATGGTCCTGTTGTTCATCTATCTATTGTGGCTGATGATATTAATATTCCTAATATGCGACCTCTGAAACAACCATACAAAGCTAGGAAGAAACCTACATGGATGAATGATTTTGTAACAAATGTTGCTTTTACATCATTCTTCATTCTTTATGTTAGTGCTTGCAATATGATATTATGTTCTCACAATACCAGTCCTATTTGTGTGTTTTCTCTAGTGTTATTGAGCTTCAATCCTATAGGAGACTTGCTCGGACCCTAAGTGGATTTCAGCTATGCAAGAATATATCCAAGCACACGAGGAAAATAACACATGGCTTATAGTACCTTAGCTCCTCACAAGAAACCCATTGGTTGTAAATGAGTTTATAAGGTGAAATTTGAGGGTGATGGTACATTAGAAAGATACAAGGAAAGATTGGTTGCAAAGGGATACAATAAAATGGAAGGCCTTGATTATCAAGATACCTTCTTACCTTTTGTGAAGATGGTCACAGTCAGAAGTGTTTTATCAATAGTTGCAGCCTCTCATTGGCATATACATGAGATGGATGTGTATATGCCTTTTTACAAGGAGATTTGAGTGACGATATTTACATGTCTTTGTATGATGGATTTTCTAGCCAAGGGATGACTTCAGGGATGGTATGTAGGCTGGTAAAATCATTGTATGGGTTGAAATAGACAAGTAGACAATGCAATGTTAAACTGACAAATGCATTAATTGATTTTGGTATATGTGGATGATATGTTTGTAGTTGATAATGATTTGGTGTTAATAGAGCAGACCAAACAAGAGTTATATGCTAGATTCAAGATTAAGGATCTTGGCATTCTTAGATATTTCTTAGGTATAAAGTTCAGTAGATCAGATTAAGGTATACTACTGAACCAAAGAAAGATGCTTTGGAATTGATTGAGGAGATGGGACTATGTGCTAAACTATCTTGCACACCACTGGATAACAACTTGAAGTTAACAACCACATTGCTAGATGAAGTCATGAATGTTACAAATGATTATGTGTTGACAGACAAAGGTCCATATCAAAGACTAATTGGAAGACTATTATATTTGTCATTAACCAAGCTTGATATTGGGTTTGCAGTACAAACTCAGTTTTCGCAATGTCCTAAGAAATCAACATGGAGGCAGTCCTCAAGGTGGTGAGATACATAAAAACAGAACCTGGAATAGGAGTTTTGATGAGCAGCAAGAAAGAAAAGGATTTAATTGCCTTCTGTGATGCAAATATTGGCAGCATGCCCAAATCCAAGAACATCAGTGACATGATTCATAATCAAGCATGGGGAGTCTTTGATTTCATGGAAGTCGAAGAAATAAATAACCGTGTGAACAACTTCAGCGGAACCAGGGTATAGAAACATGACTTTCACTATATCAGAATTGTCGTCGTTGTTGTTGTTGTTGTTCACGAATAAAACCTCTCCTTATACGATTTCTAAATGCTCCCAAAATAAGTAACATATGAAAAAATATAATTATTTCTTTCATCACAAAATAAAAGATATGTGAATAAATATAAAATCTTAAAGAATATTCTTGAAGTTCCTCGCACTTTCTAACAAAGTTTTTCTTTCTCTTTGACAAGAGAAATTTCTTTAATATAAGAACTCTTTGTTTAGTATAAATTAGTTGATTTTTTTTATCTTTTTTGTTGAATTTATAGAGACCCAATGGACTTATCATAATGATAGGAGAAATTGATTTTCGGAACATGATTTTGAAGATTCTGGATAAAATAATTAAAAAGAAAAGGAAATTGAATTAATCATCCAAAAACGGATATAATTATGAAGACATATTTTATTTTTACTAGGATAGTCATTCTAGCAATAATATATATCGATATAAAGGAGGAATATAGAGGAGGTGATGTGGCACATCTCTATGATCTACACTCATTTTTTAATTATTTTTATTCTTTTACTTGACATTTTTTCTTATTTTTTAATTATTATTTTCTTACAAAATCATCTTCTTGACTTATACCTCTTCAATTATATAAATTTTATTCTTAAATTAGTATTAATAATATTCATAACTCCCAAATCTTTGAAATTCATAACCTCTTAAGTCTTTCATATCCATAACTTCTAATTATTTAATGTGGAAGGTTACATTAACACTAAAAAATTATACTAAAATTGTGTGTTATTTTGTAGTCATTTTTTGTTAGAGAATTAGTGGAAGACATGTTACGGTATTTGTACGCTTTGAGGTGCATTATCTTTTTCAAATATTATTTCATATATTACTTTTAATTAGCAAGTAAGGCTTATATGTCAGCATATTTTTATTTTTTCTAAATAAAATTTTTTTTTGTTATCTTTGAGATTCATTTTACGGCTAATAATGTATTTTTTATTAGTTTTCTTGACTCTTGGATATAGGATGAAATGATAACATCAAGAGATGGAGACTAATGGATTTTGAGCTATATATATTGATTATTCTTTATTTTTTATTTAAAGTTTCATTATTAAAACGTTATTAATACAAATACTAAATTAATCTCATATTGTACAATAAAAATAATTAAAACATGTGATGATTGTGTGATGACTAGGATAATTACTGGTAATTGTGGATAATGATTAATAATAGTATTGATTAACTATATAGTCATAAATAATAACTATTAATAGCAATCTGATTTACTCATTGCCGAAAAATTATACTAAGAATATAATTAAGAAATTACAAAGAAGCAGAAAAGAACGGTCAAATTTCAAGTTTACATAAATATATATAAATTATACTAAAAAAATCTCAAATTAAAAAAAATTATCATAATTTTCATTTTAGTTGTTCTAATACTACCCAATATTACCTTCTCTTTTTCTTTATGAAATTTAATTTTAATATTTAACTTTATGAAGTTCACGTATATTGATTTCTTAATGATTTTCATATTAAATCTAAATGTTTTTTATAGCTTTTCTTATATAAAAATTATGTGATTAACAAAAAATATCTTTTATTAAAGTAATTATTGATATTAGTATGTAATTTTATTTTAATTTTTTTCATAACAGTAATAACATTAAGCCTGCGCTATTTATCAAGAATCCAATTGCAGATTTTCTTTTGATTTAATTTACAAACAGATGTTGTCGTGAGTAGTAGATTTATAGTTATTTGAATATATTGTGTGAAAAATAAATACATGATCACTTAATTAAGAGTCCATACAAATTTCTACATCTGTTAAGTGGCTGCAGTAATTTTCTGAATACCTGCGCATTCTCTCGAATTTTGTCCGAATACTTCATAGATATGGAGAGCGACTAAAGTAGATAAAACAGCTGGGTTTACAAACGGTGCTCTTATGCGAAAGGCTTTTGTTTTGTTAATAGTAAAAAATAAAATGAATTATTACAATTCAATCCAAGAATTTTTTTTGACTAATATCCCCAATGATTAAGATTAGAAGTCTTCATTTAAGTGTTAACCAATTACATGCAAATAAATAAGGCCTATATTTGTTTCCCCCCAAGACAAGAATCAGGAGCTGGTGTAGGAAAAAAAAAAGAAAAGGTGTAAGCTTGGAAATATGTATTTTCCAGAAACATAGATTTTGCAATAAGCCTTGTGGTAGTTGATTTTGACAAAAAAAAAAAAAATAGGCTTGTATTGTATTTAAGAAGCCATAATAGTAACAAAAGGAAAGTTTAGCTCTTCCAAGTTTGTCGATCATACTATTCATGTACATGTCGAATGATAACGTAAAACTATATGTACAAGTCAGGCAACTTGGGGATGTTTCGCTGCACAATTTGATGTTTTTATGAACGAGAAAAGTGCAAGATCTTCGAGGAGCTTGTTCAAGTCTGTAAATATCATCATGCTTTGTCCTGATCATGAATATACCGACCCTGCAAACCAACACATTCTGGACAAGTATTCTAGATCAAGATATCCAACAGTTTTAAGAATGAAATTGAAAAGATTGCAACGTCAAGAATTTCCTTCATAATTTCTTACTTTGTTAAATGCAGTAAAACAGTAGGCGGAGAAGCAAAACCATACGATCACAGGTAAACAAAAAAACAATTTGGGAGTCATTATGTCCAAATATAACAGAGACCATTAATCAGTAGCTCTTTCTGTTACTGTATAACCAAAAAATCCCACCCCTATACAGCCTCGCCTTTTGTCTGCACCTAACAGACATCACATATTGTACTCTTACCACTAGACCAAAGTCTCGAGCAAGATCACCAAATCAGCAGCTCTATGTTAATAACATCACAAAGTAAGTTAGCTACTTGAAAAGAAACAAGAATCACATCATACCCTTTTAGCAGCAATCCATTCTCCATCTAGCCAGTTTTGACGGGGCCTCAAATCAGAATGCTGAAATTCCAAGATCTCATTTGTTGTTCGAAAGTAGACCATATAATTTGAACCTATGAGGACTTTGCACACTTGACCAGCCCACCATCCACCATTATGCCAAGCATCAACTTCATCAAGTGGCCTGAATTGATCAGCTTGTTGGATTACTGGGGGAGAAGGCCTTATAAAAAGAGCATCTACTTCTTCAGTCAGAAGGTCAGTTTCATCATCAGTTTCTAGAGTCTGGTATTGTAGCAAATACTTCCTATTTCCTAGAGGTCTCACAATCGTAGCAGGGTACCATGAACCCTGGTAACCTTCTTCATCACTCCTCACCTCCACCTTTGCTCCAACACAAAAATTTGTATGACTGGCTACTCCACCCTTCCGTCTCTTTAAGTTCAGTTTGGGCTTCAGTTGGAGTTTAGATTTTTTCTGCATGTCAGGTGAATCACATAGGTATGAAGTACCAAATAATCTCAACCATAAAGCTTTTGAAGAATAAATCAAATAGTAATTTTCAAAGAAGAAGGTTGTCATACCATGAATGCAATGACCCATTTCCCATCTATCCACTCTTGATGGGGTCTCAAAGTGAAATGGTCAAACACCAGCTCCTCATTTGTCGTCCAAAAATAAACCATGTACTTTAAGCCGTCAAGGATTTTGCATATAAGACCAACCCACCATCCCTCATTATACCATGCGTCAACTTCTTCAACCATTTTAAATCTGTCAATTCTTTGAATTATAGGAGGGCAGGGCCTAATGTCAGAAGCATGTGCCTTTTCTTTAAGGGGCTCAGATTCGTCTTCAGTTCGTAGTGTCAGGTATTCCACCAAAAACTTATGCTCACAAATGGAATCAACAATTACTGCAGTGTACCAGGAGCCCTGGTATCCTTCTTCATCACTTCTCACTTCTCCCTCATCCCTTTGCTGAACTTTGGCTTCGATGTCCTTCCACTACACTTTATCCTGATTTTCAGCTCCTTTGACTTCAGTGTCATGTCAGATGAACTTCTATCAAACTTAAAGAAATTGAGGGAACAGAGGAGGATGTACAAAGAAAAAGAAGATTGTTATGAAGGCTCGAGGCAAAAAGCCAACAAGTACGAGGAAGAGATTACAGGAACATACCTCTCTGGCAGTAAGCCATTTCTCTCTGACCCATTCTTGACGAGGCCTTAGCATAGAATGCTCAAACACAAATTCATCCTCTGTGTTCATCAAACAAACTGTATACTTTAAACCACCAAGAACTTCTGTTATATGACCTTCCCACCATCCATCATTCAACCAAGCATCTACTCTATCATGATGTTCATATTGATGAAATGATCGTATTTCAGGTGGACAAGGTCTGATGTATGAAGCATCAACCTCTTCTTTGAGAAATTGAGTTCCGTTCACGGTTTTCAGTTTCTCGTATTCAACCAAAAACTTGTCATAGCCAACAGATTCAACAATAGCTGCAGTATGCCATGAACCATAGCAACCTTCTATATCACGTTTCACCTCCACAGACATCCCTTCGCTAAATACATCCTTCCAAGACCGGCTACACATTATCCTGAGTTTGACCCCTCTTGACTTCAGCTCTACCTCTGGTCTGTTTTTCTGCATGCAATAATTTTGTGTTTTTGATAAGTTTCTGCATCACAATAATTTTAACTAGGTAGTATACATGAAAAAGGAGATAAACTTTAGACTACGATACATCAAATGAATTTTAACTTGGTAGTATACAGGAAAAGTATACTCCACCAAGTGAATATTCAGCTAAGTACCCTATAAAATGTAATGCATGGTCTGATACAACTTCCTGTATAATTATATAAGCAAATGCCAAATAAGCGTAATTAGAAGGAATGCATTCTCAACTACACATCTTTTGTTTATTTGTTAACAAAAAAGTGTAATAGGAGGAAGACTTTAAATATACGAAGACAAGAAGAGAAATTTACAGGTAGATATGTCAATTCAATTTCCCCTGGCACATAAATCTTGAAAGAAATATCAACTATATTTGATGGTTAAAGATTCACTAACATATGCATAATCAAATAACAAAAGTGAATGATTTGATTCATTTCATATATATTTCACCAATAGCATCGTCCTCGGAACAAAGAATAGTCAAGGAATGTAAGAGAAAAAAAACTGCCATGCCTTAACTACAGCCATTAGAATTGCAATATTTCTGCCAAATTGACAATTTTTCCTCTTGCTATACTGTCAAACAATCAAGAGATTTTCATTGAACTATCAATTAAAATTCGGATCAAAATGCAAGGCTTTCCAAATTCAATTGAAAACAAAAATACCAGTAGAATTGTCAGCTACACATCTCTCTCGAGTTCGTACAACGTAATCCTTGGGAAATTCATGCATCAAGGAATAAAACAGTAATAACAGACCAACAAGGGATTTTAGTAAACCGATAAGAATCAATTTTTCTACTGCACATTCATCTGGAATATACACATTTGTTAGCTTAGACCATCCACAGCTCCCATTTTATAAGAGATAAAACTTTGGGAGAAAAAGAAGGTAAGCAGCCAACTTAAACATAAAGCAGTCTATTAATCCCCATTTTGATTTCAGTATATGTATATAAACTCCTAAAACCAACATGCAATGAAGTCTATATAGTACTTTTTCTCCCCAAATTTGCATGCTACTCTTAAATTTGACCAAATTGGACTAAAGTAATGTATATTTTACCTGGGGCATTTGTTGGAAGTCAAGAGGAGGAAGCCAAGAACCATCATCCCAGACTCGATAAACCCTTAAATCCCATTGTTCCGCTTTAACAATTTCTTCCTCTACACCATCAAGTGAAACGAAATACATAGAATTCTTCAATATATCAGTCACCTTCCCTTTTCTCCACCCTTTTTGTTCGTAAAGAACTTCGACATTGTCACCAACCTTGAAGTACCTGTGAAGCTCCGGTGGAGGTGCAGGACGTACATCACCGGCGTTTACGTACTCCCTCCGGCTTCCAGAAGGTTCCTCGGCGGAAAGGGTCTGGAACTCAACGTAAATTTGACCATTTCTGGTTTTCTTACATGGGGTTGATCGGATTACGGTAGAGGGTAACCAGATGGTAAAAGGGTTGGTTTTTAGCACTTCTACGTCATCTCCTTTGTTGAAGCATTGTTGGGCTGTATGCAGTGGCATGTGGAAAACCCTAGAGTGAGCGTGAGAATGAGAAGGGGTTACTTACTGTGAGAGTAGAAATTGTAGGAAGCAGAGGGAGAGGGATAAGGAATAGGAATAGGAATAGGAGAGAGAGCTGTTTGGTGCTTTATGGTGTAGGTACACTTTTCATGAGAATGCTTCAAATTGAAAAATGTGGAGGTCTGACACGTATACTTTTTCATCTTTTTTTCTTTTGGGATAGGATCGGGTGGGGTTAATGTCATGTGTAGCTACTCTCATTTCGAACATGGGACATGAAATTATGAAATTATGATTTGATGAATTTCAACTTTTCATTAACCACACTAAGCGTAATGAGTCGTTACAAAATAACTGATAAGGTTATTTGGTTGTATAGCTGAAATAATGATTTGAAATCATATGATGTAAAGTTGAATTTTTGTTTGAATATATAATTTAAATTTTTGATTTATATTTTTTTGCTCATAAACATAAATACATCATAAATTATTAAAATGATCTCAATTCTTCATAAAATTTTGAAGAAATTAAGCAAATATCTCATAAACTTAAATTAATTATAACATATAGTCGTTATATTGATACTTGTGTGTGTGGGTGTGGGTGTAATATCGTTAAATTTTCTTGTTCATAATCTACTTATTAGTCAATGATACTACACAAGTATATATTTCTATTCTATTATTATTTTATGTTTTTATAGAAATGTGAAATTGAGGACGATGAAGGGTATTATAGTCATTTCATATATATTTCATTTAAAATTTTACAAATTCTATTTTTAAATTTATCACAAATATTTTTTCAAGTGGCTAAACTTCCTCCACAAGTTACATGATTTTTCTAGAAATAATAAATTATAAGATTCTTGTAGAACTAAGTTTATGACACAAATAAATAGACACTAATCATTCTTCATTTCATTCACTCCACAATTCTCTCTCCTCTCATGTATTTTATCAATGAATTTTTCGCTCTTTTATTTCTTATTTGTATCCTAAAAATGCTACACACTCTGATATAAATCTCTGACTAGGAAGGCCAACAATGTAGTTTCTTTAAACATTAAGAACTTTATTTCATTAATTCCCTACATAATAGCCTTACTTTTGTAAACTAATTATAAGACAAAATTTAAATTCATTATTACTTGGTGAATGCATCACTTTTGGGATGTGTTCATATATCATATTTTCAACATAATTTAATTTTTTCGCACTTTTTAAACACCCTAATGAACATATTAATGGACCAGTTAACATGTTAAATTCAATGTCAATCACACTTATTTTTTTTTCAAAAGGCCTCATTCATAAGGAATGCAACTAGTGAGCAAGCATTTCAAGAACAAAATTTTCAACAATTTTGAAGCATGTTATTTTATTTCATTTGGGTCTTTAGACTTTTCAATTTCATGATGTTGTTTTTTGTTTCTGGATTGTAAAAATATTTTTGAATTGTCTAATTTACTTATTTCTCTTTTTATGTATAATTCTAAAACTTCATGTAACATATATATTATTAGATAATTTATTGAGAAGAATATATTTATTTATTACTATTATTTTATCATCGATTAAAATTATTTTAAGCAAGTTATATAAATTATTTATATAACTATATCAAGTTAAATATATATATATATATATATATATATATATATACACACACACACACACACACACACACATATACTGGGATTAACAAGACCCTCTTGCATAATGAGATTTAGTTATTTTCTGTTAGGATAAACACTATCTAGTCTGAGACATTATTTTTTATTTTCTTCTCGAATAAACATTTACTAGTTTGAGATGCTATTTTTTATTTTCTCCTAGGATAGTCAGTTCCTACTTAGAGATGTTTTTTTATTTTTCTTCTAGGATAAACACTTCCTAGTCTGAGATCGTTATTTTTATTTTTTCTAAGGATGAAAAATTTCCTAGTATGAGATGAGTGTCATGATAAGTTGCAACTTCTTGATAAATATGAGTGGTACAAGTGTTGTATTATTACTCTTAGGTGAGAGCAATTAAGTGTAACTAAGTCTTAGCAAGAGCATTGAGAGGTGTGCACAAAATTGTATATAATCAGATGAGGTTCTTATTAAGTTTATGATTTTTCAAGTATGCCGACACAGTATATTTGAGCTTTCAATATGGAATAGGCTGATGCAAGCATTATTTTTCCCTTAAGAGTTAGATTAAACGACTTTATAAGAAATGCGGATACCAATTATAGAAAATCTTTTATTGAAGTCCGAAGATATAATGAAAAGTATCTCAGAAAGAAGACTTAGAAGGAATATTTGTGCATGCGCTTGGAGAGTTCAGTAACAATAAGATTAACATTTTTCGAGTAAGTAAAACAAATATAGGCTAGCTTAGTAATGAAGGATAGATCCTAAGGCTAGGAACGGGATGTACATGTACCATTCCAGTTCATCCCGGTTCGATTGCCTACGAGAAGGAATGGGACATCCCGAATCGGAACACAAAATGAAATGAAACCGATGTTTTATATCGGTGTACCGGTACCGATTTATTCTCATTTATTTCGATTTCACTCCTGTCTGGTCCGATTTTAATTAATTAATTTATATTATATATTTATAAATTATAATTTAATTTTTATAGCAAATAATAAATACTAACCAAGTAACCCAGCTATCCCCTATTAGTATTACATTCGTGATTTAGTTGAAACAGAACCCTTCGTAGAAGGTGGTTGTGCAAGCTATGCACTCTACTAGTAGTTGTGAATTGAAATTGTAATTTATGATACAAATTTAATTAAATTAAATTGATATTTTTTTAATTTGTGTAATTATTGTATCCTTATTTTTATTTAATTTTTTAAAAGTATAAATTTAATTATTTAAATTACAAATTATAAGTATTACTTATAAATTATAACATATTAATAAATAATAAGCAATAACTTATAAACTTCAAAAGATTTAAATCTTGAAAACTTAAGTAGACTTAACTTACAAACTTAATAAGTAAAATTTTTATAAAAAGTATCTTTAAAATAACTTAAGTAAACAATTACATTATAAATTTAAAAAATATTAATTTAAACTTAGAAAGATAAAAAAATATTTATATTTTCGTAATTCAAAAAAATTATTTTTTGAAATAACTAGATGTGTTATCCCGTTTATCTCATCCTGTTTCATTTCAATCCGTTTCAATTCCATCCCGGTATATAGTGGGACCAGACGGAATCGAGTATCCATCCCGGTGATTCCGATCCGGTTCATCCCGGTACCGGTCAACTCGTCCCGTTCTGATCGGACACACCGATTCGTTCCGGTCCGATGGTCCCATTCCGGTCATTGTCATCCAAAGCTTTAAAGTAACAACTTCAGACCTAAATGGGAGATGATAAGATAAGAAACCAAGTCAAGTATTGAGAATTAGAAAGTGATGTGCCAGAAAGAGTTAAAGTGATATATCGATCCATTCGTACTCAAGTTTATTCCTCAAAATTCAGTTGTTACAACATCAGGTTGATGCCTCTAATATCAAAATTTTGTTCATGACTTATGGTCATACACTACTTTGTTGGTCATACACTACTTTTTGTTGACTCTCATTTCTATTTGTTTTGGAATGAACTCCTTAAACACTGTATCATCATAACTATGATGTCTATCATTACTTTTGTTTTTTATTTTTGTACTTTCACTTCTTTATTTCTTAGGAGAGATGTCGATTTACCCCATTAGAAAACATAACTATCCGCGATATTACTATTTGAAGCTCTCTCTTGAGTGAAAACATGTTCCATATCTACTGATGGAACTATCATGACACAATTGGGCACAATTTTTGAAGATACAAGAGTTTGGAAGTGATGTAACACTACTCCTCCTCTCGCGTCCTGTTTTTCTAACTCTTTGCATAAAAATTTTGGCTCCGCCAATGCTCACATCTAAGTGTTTAAAAAGTATCTGTTAAGGGCTTCAAAATGAGGAACAAAACAAACAAAACAAGCAATGTTTGTTGCATTAGCAAATTAGTCAATTTTGTATGTGCAACATAAAATTTAAGACTGCCCATACTAGACTTGTGTGACTTTCTAAACAAAAGAGCAACATAAGTTAGACATATAAATGTTCTTTGATAAATTTGATTGAATAAAAAAACGTCAAAGTAATCATTTATGAATAAAATAAAGTAATCATAGTAACATCAACTAGTCATTTAATTTATTAATAAAATAGACTAATAATAGTAAATAAATTGTAAATGACCTTGAGTTGACAAAATGAAATATAATACATACTTGATTAAAAATCGTATTTTGAAGTAAGTAATTTTGTAATATTACTTTTCTCAAATAATAAATATACTTAAAGTTGATATATGATTAGTATGTATAGATAATTAATACTAAAAACATATATTTTGGTATTTTACCAAATGAAATAGCAAAATAACATCGAAAGTCAATGAGAGAGATGTTAGGACAACAATTATATATGTTGTTCAATAAATTTTAAAATGTGAGGTGGTCAGTTTGACAACCTATTCAGGGAAGCAATAAACTGAAATATGATGTAAGAGTGCAAATTACCTTACTACACATTCTTTTTAATCATATTTTCTATTATTCCCTCCTATCATGAAAACTTATTAAAATTCTTTTTTTCCTCAAAACTTCTCATTTTTTTTGGATACATTAGTTTTCCAATCTAACTCCACAATTTCTCTTCCTATTTTAACTCAAACAATCACATAAATCACCTCCATCGATTCATTTTTGAGTTTCAAATCTCTTCTCTCTCTAGTCAATTAATTTCAACTTACTTAATAAGTATTTCTTCTTCTTCTTGAGAAAATAGTCAAAAGATCCCCTAATCTATTAGTCAATTCTCAACCACACACTTATATTTAATGGGGGCCCTATTACCCCCCTAGACATTTTTAAAATGGAATATATTGCCCCTTAAAATACTATACCCAGATTTGTGGTGGTGTGTTGAACGCGCGGTGCCACACAATTATATGGTACTTTTCCATATAAAAATATTATTATTCTTTTTATTTATTCGATTTCCCTTCTATATTTTTCTTTTACTCTCAGCTGGTTTCTTCTTTCCTTTTTCCTTTCTCTTTCCTTTTCTTCTACTAAAAATTTTCTTCCATTGAAGATCAAAT